AAAATAAAAAAAGATGTACTACTTTTAGCTTATTATACCAGCAATAATTAAGTAAAATGAATAAATAAAAATACTGGTAAGGATGTAGAGAAAAGAGTACTCTTGGTTGGAATGTAAATTATTAGCAGTTTTATAAAATACTTTGACAATATATATCATGAATCTTAAAACTATTCCACTCAGCATCTCCACTTCTGAGAATTTATTTTAAGGGGAGAAGGCCTATATATAGCTTATTTACAAAAAATTTCATTGTATCATTATTTATAATAGTAAAAATAGTTAGGCACACCTAATCATCTACTTCCGTAGTGATACTGTCTCGGCAACCCAAGGAGGAGTCGCTATGAGTCTGGCCCAACTCGAGGGCACATAACAACAACAACAGCAATCATCCAATTGGGAGCATGGTTATATAAATCATAGCACACGCTTTAAATGTGATATTAATTATACAAATACAAATATTTATGAAGGTTTTAATAATCAAAAACCAAACTCACTGCTGTTGAGTCATTTTCCGACTCGTAGTGACCCCTTCCTTGGGTTTCCGAGGAAGTATCTCTACAGAAGTAGATTCCCCAGTCTTTAATACTCAAAATAATCATGTTATATGATTAAATGAAAAACAATCATCTTCTTTTTAAATTGTGATTTGGGTGCAAGTTTACAAGGCAAATTCATTTTCCATTCAACAGTTCATACACACTTTGTTTCATGACATTGATGGTATTCCCCACAATGTAATAGCTCTCTTCCCACTTCCTCTGTGTGGTTACGTTTTATCTGTGTCCTTCTTGCCCGTTCATTCTTGTCTTCTGAGCTTCCTCCTGGTGCTGCCCTTCTGATCTCCCAATGGTTGATTGTTCTAAGGAGTGTACCTACCTGGTGTAGTTGTTCACCTTATTGCTGTTTTTAAGTGCTGTCAAGTCCACTCCGGCTCATAGCAGCCCTATGGACAACAGAACAAAACACTGCCTGGTTGTGTGCCATCCTCACAATCCTTGCTACGTTTGAGCCCATCATTGCAGCCACAGTGTCAATGCATCTTGTTGAAGGTCTTTCCCTTTTATGCTGACCCTCTACTTTACCAGGCATGATATCCTTGTCCCTTCTGACCACATGACCAAAGGGTGAGACGAAGTCCGGCCGTTCTTGCTTTCAACGAGCATTCTTGTTCACCTTGTAGGCCTGTCTATTGTTTGGCTGGAAGCCAGACTCTTGTTGTTGTTGTTGTTATGTGCCGTTGAGTCGGACCCGACTCATAGCAACCCCTCCTTGGGTTTCCAAGGCAGTATCACTACGGAAGTAGATTGCCCAACCTTCCTTCCAAGGAGTGCCTGGTGGGTTTGAACCACCAGCCTTCTGGTTAGCAGCCAAGTGCCTTAGGCACCTGAAGGGTGACCAGGGGCCATAGTCTCAGGGGTTTCACCAGTCTTTATCAGACCAGTAAGCCTGATTGTTTTTATGATTTTGAATTTTGTTCCATAGAAAAATCATAATCTTAACAATGCAAAATAAATGCATGGAGAAAAGGTCCATAGGTTTTGAGTGAAATACTCACAGTTGTTTCTTTTAAAGGAAGAATTAAAAAAATTTTTTCATTATTAAATTGTTCTTGCTCTCTCAAGTATCACATACAAGCTACTTACTTGGTACCATAATTTCCATCTTGAGGTCGATCTCTGGTAATGAGTTTCCAACAAGGCTGGGCTTGGATTGGTTCCTGAATCCCAGCACACTTAACTGAGTTCCTGAGATGTTCCCAGTTTTTACAGCATTTCTTGTCATCGGGATGACTTTGCAGCTCTACCCTGTGCTACTTGAGGCTTCCTTGTAGAACCTAAGTTTTGTTGGATGTCATTATTTTGGTATTTCACCACTCTCTAGATTAAATTGTCTTGCATATTTATACCCATCAAATCAAGTCACCCTGTAGGAATTGCCAGCCAGTCTTTCTCTCTAGCTGCAGCTTTGCCTTGGAGAGTTGCTTCTTTTCCTGGGCCCTCATTTTGTTGAACCTACTTATGATACTCAATATCCATTCTGCCTTGAATGTGAGCCTTTCTAATTTACAATGAAAAAGTCCAGGGAGAAAGGCCTGTTGAAAAGCTTGGACCTGTAGTTCAGGGAAGGATCCTTTATAATGTAGAGCATTTTCCCCAGCCAAGGAGCTTCCACAAAGCATCCTTCATGTCTCTGTTCCTCAGGCTATAGATAAAGGGGTTCAACATGGGAGTGACCATTGTGTATATCACAGATGCTACTATTCCAATATCTGCTGAGTAGGAGGATGATGGCTGAAAATAGACAAGAAAGAGGGTCCCATAGAAGAGAGTGACCACAGTCAAGTGAGAGACACAGGTAGAAAAGACTTTGTGCTTCCCTCCAGCAGAGGGGACCCTGAGGATGGTGTGGATGATGTGGGCATAAGAGACCAGGACACAGATGAAAGGGACCACACCTGCGAGGACAGCTTCAATGAATATCATAATCTGAAAGGTATGGGTGTCTGAACAGGCAAGCTTGAGGAGTGGTAGAAGGTCACAGAAAAAGTGTGGGATTGAGTGAGAGGCACAGAAAGATAATTGAGCCATTAGGAGAATGAGTAAAAAGGTCAGAACGTGGGAGCAGAGCCAGGATGCAGACACTAGCAGCTGGCAGCATTGAGGCTGCATGATTGTGGTATATTGGAGAGGAAGACAGATGGCCACATAGCGGTCATATGCCATCATGGTCAGCAGGAAGTCATCCAGCAATGTCAATGCCACGAAGAAGTACATCTGCATGAGACAACCCATGTAGGAGATGGTGTGGTGCTGTGTCTGGATGTTCACCAGCACCTTGGGGACAATGGTGCAAGCTAAGGAGGTATCAGTGAAGGACAGGTTGGCCAGGAAGAAGTACATCGGTGTGTGGAGGTGTGAATCAGAGCTGATGGTCAGAATGATGAGCACGTTTCCCAACATCGTCACCAGGTACATGCCCAGAAAGAGCCCAAACAAAAGAGGCTGCTGCTCTGGCCGCTCAGAGAAGCCCAGAAGAAGGAGATCAGAAATGCTGCTTTGCTTTGGTTCCTAATGTAGAGAAATTAGTGGAGAATCTGGATTAAATAGAGCCATGTTCTAACAATTAACCAAGTCCAAGAATTTTGGTCTCTTTGTCCTTATTCCCTGACGAGGTCACTGAGATTTACTAGTAGCTGGATTAGTACGTGTGCAATTATGTACAAATATGTGTGGCATTTTGGTGGGGGTATTGTCTTGGTTCTAGATTCTTGTAATAAGAAAAATTGTCCCTATAGATTGCCTGGGAGCTCTGGTAGCGTAGTGCCTAAGGCACTTGACTGCTAACCAGAAGGCTGGAGGTTGAAACCCACCGGCCACTCCTCGGAAGGAAGATGGGGCAATCTACTTCCATAGTGATACTGCCTCGGAAACCCAAGGAGGGGTTGCTGTGAGTAGGGTCCAACTCGATGGCACATAACAACAACAGAACAACATAGATTGCCTGAATGAGACTGAATTGGGTTTCATATGGAATGAACCCCTCCAAGTTTTAATTTCTTCTTTTTTTTAGCTTTAGAATAATTGTTTCAACCTTGATATTCTATTGTGGCATTCATTTTGGGATCATGCAAATACTAGGATTTAGTGGGCCACACTGGGTCCTCTGAGTCTGTGTGTGTATGTGTGCACATGTGCATGTGTGTATGCATGTGTATTAAGGGTGATGAAAGAAGGAATAATTTCTTCAGAGACTATCCAGCTGAGACTGAGGGGTCTTTAAGTATGCTGGGAGTACTCTGCCACTTTTGCCTTTGAAGAACCTTTGAGTTACTGTGGCTATGAGAACTTTGTTAACTGAAAAACACTTTATCAATGAAGGGCACATTTTCATTTTTGTCATCAATCTTTTCATCCATCAGTCTCCTCAGTTTTAAGATCAAGAGCTTTGGTGTCTACTGACACAAATTTGCAGCATATTTACCCACTGTAAAATGTGAGTAAGTAAGTCTGTTTTAAACAATTATTCACTAATTCAGATTTTTAAAAAAGAAATAATGTTAACAGTTTCAGTAACCTGTAAGTAGATATAATCCCAAACCAAACCTACTGCCATCAAATCAATTCTGACTCATAGTGACCCTATAAGTAGATACAGAGAAGTAAATAACTGGTATTAACCTAAGGTCGTGGCTGAGAGTGATTCTGAGAAACCCCTGTGTCCGAGTGGACTGAGGGTGAATTGTACCATGCAGTTGCCCAGGGGCTCGGTCCTGGTCTCTGAAGGGATATGGACATGGACATGGAGAAGGTTAGTGTGAGACCCACTCTACAATGACTTCAGACTGGACTTCAGGGATCTGATGAACACAAGAGCTAGGTACCCCTTACGGTGATCAGAAGATCTAGGAAATGATTGAGAGGGAGGAAAGAAGTGTATGTGTGTGAGTGTGTTGTGTTGTGTGTCTGTGTGAGAGAGACTTTGCTCTCTGTCCCATTCATCCCCATGCCTCTATTCCTACCTGGAGATGCTGGACAGCTTCAGACCTTGACATCATCATCAAGGAGATTCTATTCACTGCTCCTTTCACCCCCAAAATGACATAGTTGGAACCACTGAGACTTTCCCTCTCTTCAGTAGCAGCACAGTTTAAAGACTCAGGGCTGGTGGTACCTCACTTTAGGGATAGGAGCCTGGAGGAGTTGCTAGCTTTTCACATGAAATGTCTTCTGGGGCCTAGACTCTTAGAGACAAGATGTGGCAATTGTCCAAACTCCCTTTGTCTCCTGTAGGCTGTGGTCCTTTGAGTCTCAACACTGTCAGAGATGATTACATTTAAAATGACCAAAGGCTGGATCCATGAGGGCATGGCTGCTGGTTTTCCTTTGGGTGAGGTACAAATCAGATTCTTCTTTCCCATCACTAATTCCGAGCATAGCCCTTCCTTACCATATTACTTTCTATTTACAGCCCAATCCTCGTGGATGAAACATGGTATGTTCCAGAAAAGAAGTGAAAAGAAAAAAAAATTAGATAAAGTTACACCATTGCCTTCAAATGTCACATAGAAAAGGAAGTATTCTTGTTTTCTGTGACCTCAGCAAGCAGATATAGGACCAATATGTAGAATCTACAGAAGACCCAAGGTAGTGCTTTGGGTATCTTCTAGATATTATGTAGCAAATACATCATAAATAAAAATGTATTTAAAATATATACTTAATTTAAAAAATAATAAAATAAATACTTATCTTCCCACCACTCAGATTAGATATTATATCAAAATGGTAAGTCATATTCCTTTTCTGCCCAACTAGAAGTAACCATTATCCTGAATATTGTATACCATTTCCTTAGTTTTCTTTATAATTTTACCACATAGGCATATGTGCCTAAACTAGATACTGTCTGGGTATTCCTATTTTTGTACTTTATATGATCTGAATTAAATTTTGTGTTCTTCTATGATATGCATATTTCAGTCAACATTACTTTAAAAAGTTTTATTGTAGCAAAATTTATATAACAAAAAGTTTGCTGGTATAACCGTTTGAAAGTGTGGAATCAATTACATTAATTACTGTGTTGTGCTACCATCACCATCACCATCACCAAAAATATTCATCCATATCCAAAATTTTTATTTCAACCTAAATAGGAACTCAATACTCCTTCAGCAATAACCCTTCATTCTCTCCTCACCTCCACTTCTTGGTAAAAACCAATAAACTTGAGTCTCTATGCCTAGATGTTTCATATAAATGAGCTCATACAATATTTGGCCTTTTGTGTGTAACAACCAATAAACTTGAGTTTCTAAGTCTAGATGTTTCATATAAATGAGATCATACAATATTTGGCCTTTTGTGTCTGACTTTTTATACTCAGCATAATGTTTTCAAGGTTCATCTATGTCATAAAACGTATCAGAACTTTATTGCTCTTTGTGGCTAAATAATATTCCATTATACACACACACACACACACATATACATATATATACATACATACACACACACACACACACACATATATATATATATATATTTTTTTTGTTTTG